CTGTCAGATTCCTCAGAGAAGATGCATCCAGTCTCCTGCTTAGAGAGCGTCAGGGAACTTCCATTTGCCAGTGTTCTGGGAGCTAAGATTGGGAAGATGGCTGGAGCCCTCAGTATTTAATGAATATTGAACCTACTCTTAATTCCCATTTTCAAAATGATATTCTTGCTGTTAAATATATGTGGTGTTCCCCAGTCCAGACAATTCTACAAAGACTTCCGTTCTGGTGGGGTGGAAGAGGAGAATTACTGGCTGCTGCTTTTTTTTTTTTTTTTCCTTTTGAGATGGGGTCTCACTCTGTTGACCAGGCTGGAGGGCAGTGGCACAATCAGGGCTCACTGCATTCTCGACCCCCTGGGCTTGAGATCTTCCCACCTCAGCCTCCTGAGTGGTTGGGATTACAGATGTACACCATTATAGCCAGCTAATTCAAAAAAATTTTTTATAGAGATGAAGTCTCTCCATGTTGCCCAAGCTGGTCTCAAACTCCTGGGCTCAAACAGTTCACCTGCCTTGGCCTCCCAAAGTGCTATTACAGGCATGAGCCACTGCACCCCACTGAGCATTACCATCTTGGTGTTGGGAGGGATTGATCCTGGATATCTGCTATCCTTCCTTTTCTCTCTCTCTCTCTAATTCCTGCCTTAATTCTCACTTCCAGAGGTATTTGGAACCTAAACATCTTGGGTATGTTTGGTATAAATGCAATTGCTTCTGTTCTTTCCCTGCTGCTAATTCTGTATCAACTTTAGTCAGCCTTCCAGCTTCTCAACCTTTGTTGCTGTGGTCACCACTCTATCTTTGTAAAAATCCCTTGTTGTTTTAATGCACTGTTCAAAGAAGATAGAGCTAAATGTGTTTATTGATTTCACTATCTTTAACCAGAAGTCCAGGCTGCCCTTTTCCCCTTGGTCACAGGTAAGTTGTGTGATTTGTTGGAAGTGTCAAGTATGTACTGTGTGTTAGTGGAGAAAATATTTTTAGTTTTCTTTGGATTAAAAGACCAAAGTATCTTAACTGTTTGCATGTTTTTATATGTAGAGGTCAGAGTCATTAATTTCAAAACATCATTTTGCCCTAATGAAGTATTTCTGCTTCAACTGTTACAGGTTCGGTTTTCCAGTTCGGCAGCAGCACTACAAATTTCAACTTCACAAACAACAATCCATCAGGAGTGTTCACATTTGGTGCAAATTCTAGCACACCTGCAGCCTCAGCCCAGCCTTCAGGCTCGGGGGGCTTTCCGTTTAACCCGTCTCCAGCATTTACAGTGGGGTAAGATAATTTTTTATTGAAATGGAGAATTTACATTGGTAAGGGTATGTACATGTATATGTTTTGTTTTTAAAAGTTATCAAGATCCAGTATGGTTTGGGTAAAATTAAATATGTTCTCCAACATAAATTTACCATACTGCAATTCTGGAGGATTATAGTTTGAGAAAAAAAAAAAAAAAACAGTAATGTGTGTGTTAGGTATAGCAGAAAATGTATGTAACAGTTGCTGCTGCTCATGGTAAATGTTAGGATTTGGAAATTTTGCCCTGAGCATCATACCACATTATGAAGCTTTTATTTTTTACAGGTCAAATGGGAAAAATATGTTCTCATCTTCTGGAACTTCAGTCCCTGGCCGCAAGATAAAGACTGCTGTTAGACGCAGAAAATAAAGGTCACATTGGTGTTATACGCAATTTTAACAACAGCTGGTGCCCTGCTTTCAGATACTGGATTATACTTTGTGCTGGGGTTATCTGAAGTCAGATCTAAGGACTTCTTTATTTTTGGATTTTTCCTCCTTTCCCTTTCTTTACAGAAGCCCCACCCTGCTTCACCCACCCTCTTTTAAAAAATAATAGCTAGACTGGTGACTGATTCTGCAGCAAAAATATTTTATGATCCAGCAGATTATTCACTGATTTGACATAGTCTGGCTGTTCCCGGGAATGGAGCCTGCACGGCAAATGGCTTTGTATAGAACCTCTTTGTCTACACCATTATGTGCGCTGATAAGCGTTTACAGAACGCGTTGAAATTGTAATTATATCTGAGGAATTCTGTATAGATTAGAATTCTGTATAGATTAGAGAATGTTGAAACGGATGATTTCTATGCTGAGTTTGTCCTGGTGTATGTGTGAAGTGAGTGAGTTGGGTGTATTGTGCACTAAACTTTTCTGATAGAGGAAGCCTGATTAAAGAATGGTCCGTGCTAAGGACTTGTTAGATCTAGTTCATTCTCCATTTAATAATTATATGCTATTTCTATATTTTCATTCTTTTATCACCTGTCTTGCCTTTTTCATTATTTTATTATGAAACTTGTGTAAATACAATTTTGTTTCTGTACTTTTTTGGCATAACATAAATCTGTGAACTTGAAATTTGAATTTTGTGTTAGAGATTTTTTTGTTGTTTGTTTAGTCTTGTCTCAGATTTTATTATGTAAATCCCATTATTCAAAGTTGCCTAAATCCATTTGGAAATCTTTAAAAAAAAATTGGGGATTCTTAAAGTTGAATTTATTGGCTTTTCTGATCCAGTTTTGTTTGGACCAAAAACCAGTATTGTACAAAGTATTAAGCATATATTTTTATATTTACTAAAATGGACTGTGGTGACTTTGGATAATAAGGAAAAGTTTAATATTAAAGCCATGTTTATTACAGTATAATTAACATATTAAACCATGGGATAAATGCCATCAATAAAAAATTATGACATACTTTTCGTTCTAGTTTTACCTCATAATGAAGGTACAGTCTTATTGGGACAGGACTTTTTAAAGTAAAGGTTAACAGTGGCTCATTGGAAGATAAGTTCCAAAAAGTACATTGACATGATTCAGACAACTCCTAAGAGAAGGGGAAAGTAATTTGCCCATCAGTTTACATACCTTTTAAAAAAAGTTGAAAGTAAACACACATCCATTTCTCTTTGTGCTTGTATCTTCCTTGGTAAGTTACTGGATAGTGTAAGTATTATTTTATTCTTTTTTTAACTGGATTGTTTTTCTGCGGTTCACAAAAGAATTCTTGGAACAGTATTTGGTAATTTTATTTTTCAGTTTGATTGTACAGTTATTTTGTGCTCAGTTTTAATTTGCTGAACTTCTGGTTGGTTGACGTTTCTTTCTTTTCCCTGTCGCCCAGGCTGTGGTGCAGTGGTGTGATCTTACCTCACTGCAGCCTCTGTCTCCCGGGTTCAAGCAATTCTCCTGCCTCACCCTCCCGAGTAGCTGGGACTATAGGTGTGCACCACCACACCTGGCTAATTTTTGTATTTTTAGTAAAGATGGGGTTTCACCATGTTGGCCAGGCTGGTCTCGACCTCCTGACCTCAGCTCATATGCCCACCTTGGCCTCCCAAGTGCTGGGATTGCAGGGGTGAGGCACCTCGCCCGGCCTTCCTTTGGGTTGTATGCTACATACACAAGTGAAAATTAAAGCTATTTGTAGCCAGGGATTGGAGGGGGATAAATGTTGGAAAGAAAATAATAAAAGCCCATACTTCTCATGCTGGGCCAATGAGTAATGAAGATGGATAGTCTCCCTCTCTCACTCAGGGTAGAATGCAGTGGTGTGAACATAGCTCCCTGTAGCCTTCAACTCCTAGGCTCAAGCAGTCCTCCTGCCTCAGCCTTCAGAGTAGCTGGGGACTACAGATGTATACCACCGTGCTAACTTTTTTTTTTATTTCATTGTTTGTAGAGAACAGGGTCTTGCTATGTTGCCCAGGCTGGCTCACTTGAACTCCTGGGCCCAAGTGATCTTCTTGCCTTCCAATGTGCTGGAATTACAGGTGTGAGCTACCAAGCCCGGCCAGGGATTGTTTTTAATGAAAAAGAATCTCTGAAGGGAGGAAAGTCATATTCAGAAAATTTAATCGAATAATTAGGTACGTATGTTTTTATAATTTGGTTGATTGACCAGAGGATTTGGTGGGATATGTCAGATACATATTCTAGGACCTCATCACCAGAGACTGACTGGGTCTGGATAGGGTCCAAAACTAAATAAGCACCTGGCAGACCTAAAAAACTGAGGTTTGGGGGCGTGTCACTTTAATTGCTAGTTTTGAGTAATTACAATTCTGGGCATTGAGATAAAGGTACAGTTCTGACCACTAAAAAATGTCTTTAAGCTGCTCATTAATACTTGTTACAAATTCTCCCCTGAAATTGGCTTGTTCATCTAATTTTATTATTTGAAATTAATTATTGAGCTAATTTTAGCATATAACCAGGCCATATGCTGGTTAAACATGGTAAGAACTTTTTACTTTATTAGCATGTTATTTTCTGTGCCTGTTTTAAACTTTGAGGTTCAATGGAAATTTTATAAAGCTTATTTTAGCTTGTGCATTTAATGGAAACTGACAAATCTGGTGTAGTAAAATTGAGAAAATAGGGGTAGCAGGTCTGGCTACACACATCAGCTGTATGACCACGTCAGCCAAAGCCTTCATTTCTGTGTTACGTGGGACAACTTTTATAAACTTGTCTCAAAAATGCACTGTACATCCAAAACATACATTTATGGCTAGGCTCATAACAGTAGCACATTGTCTACAGGCTCAGACCATCTTTTAGCCGCACTCTGGTTTATCCTTTATTGTCTTTGCCCTTGTTGAGGAACCAGTTGTTTTGCATCTGGCCCCTTCTCTCTGGACCTGTTCATAAAAGTTAAACAGGAAAGGCTTTTAAGGTCACAACTATATTTAAATTGCCCAGATGAGGTTTAAGTGGTGGTTGTGATGGTTAACAACTCTTAAAGGACTGGATCAATTTAATATTAAGCTTAATTCACGTACAAGGAACTTCTGAGTGTACTTGCTAAAAGAACATATTCCTAAAGATGGATGATTCCTTTTTTATAGATCTGTATTTCTGAAAGTATTCTAGTTTACTGATATACCCACTGGAAAAACTGTATTTGGAAGCAAGGTCTCCCTAAGTAGGAGATTCTAGAGCAAACTATCTCAAGGAAATAGACAAAATATAGACGTGTTGATGACTAAGTATTTATTGAGACAAATAATACAAATTGGTGGCATACACATTATTAAAAATAGAATGCTGAATTTTATTTATAGGTGGGCGATCAGATACTGTTTACAGGTCAAGCCTTACTATAATGAACCATAAAGAAATATGTACACTGTTTGAAATGAGGAACTTTTTGTGATATCGTGAGTGGCCTGTTGTACTGGGGACAAGGAACGTCAGGTAATTGGCATGTTTCTCGTCAGGAATACTGTTTAGGCATATTCAAAAAAACAGCTGCCTAATGGAAACATTTAATATCCATATCCCCCTCAAAAAGCCCATTATTCCCAAGTAGTGTAATTTTCAACTCCTTTCTACCCTTCCTTTGCTAGAAACTTAGGCGTAACACTGAAATACCCAAACAAGTCACTGAAGGGAACAAATCCTTTCTTTTTACTGTCCCTTGAAACTAAAAACACTGACTCATTTTGTAATGTAGGTGAAGTAGCTCTCAAATATAATGCATTTGTTTTTCTATCCTAAATACTTGGGTAAAATTGGAAGGTGAGTACTTAGGCAGAAATAAATACCGAGCTGGTGAGAGCAAAAGTTCAGTTGGGCAGTCCTCTTTATGATACAAGTTAAGGCTGTTATTAGTTCCAAAAGTGCTGCCTTTATTTCTGTAGTCACAGTCTAAAGGCAAGGCTAACCCAGCTCCTGGCTCCCACATGAACATTATTTATTCAGTATGTCAGATTTTTCTCAATGTGCATTAGCCCTTCAGCATATTTTTACTGGTGGGAACTGTTTCTTCTAGACACCTAAATCAACTGCCAGTTCTGATTCATCTTAGGGAACATGTTCATTGAAACAGTATTCTCACTCAGCTTGAATCCTAAATTTTGTTCCCTTCTTATTAAAGTGATGAATATGTTGTAGAATGAAGATAACTGTTTTCTGCCTTTTTAGGCTAGAGCTTCAGCATGAGAATTATACTTTGACACAGAAAATCAGGTCTGTAAGTGAAATACAATAAAGTGTTCTTGAAAGGACACTCTACCTTACAACCCCTAGAGAAAAATATGTGGCACTAACGCCTGGCTCTTTCTTCCCTCATTGTTTTGTCATTCTTTCCCAAACTTTGGGAATCAAAATCTCTTTGTGCAAACGGTGAATTCATAAACTGAAACAGAATAGTCTCTCGGGTTCTATTACAGAGGCAAAGTAATAATACTTTTATGTATTTTATAGGGTTATATAATACAGTAACTCGAATCCGTGGTTGGATCTGACTGAACCTACATAAACAGTAATCTGAATGACTCCTAGAAAATGGGCAATGTTCCAAGCATACAAAATTAAACTGGACTACCTTGCCTTTGTTTTATAGTATGAACAAAAATAACCTAGATGGCAAGGTATTATCTGAGCAGAAATTATGAATGAAAGATATATTCCAGAGTTCTATGACTGAGGGACATTTCAACTTGAATGTCCCAGTGGCAAAAGTAGTGTGTAAACTAATGCTAGTGTACACACTACTAAAGTGCCAAGTTATAAGTTATGTAACATTTCCTAATCTAATTTTAAAAATAAAAGATTTTTCTTTTTTTACTGTGAAGGGCAGTCACACCAAATCTTCCCCATGGGTACAAGTGAATGATTTATTTAGTACATTGACATACTTAAATATTAGTGTTTCTGGGAAGCTGGATTTAATATAAACTTGTTTTGAAAAACATGGTTTATGAAATTTTATAATAAAAGTATTAATAAAGACATTAAATTTCTGTAATCAAATGTGTAATATCTGTTGTCACAGTTTTAAATGTCAAAGAAAAAAATCTTTGAAAATACAGTGGTAATAGACATGTACTGTGTTTGCTATTAAGACCAAGAACAAATGCCTAGATTCCTTAAATCAAATTTTGAACTGTGCAATACAGTTTAGTGCATCTCTGGAAGACAATGTCAGAGCTGGAGAAAAATACCTAAGAATCAAAACTTAAACCATAAATAGTACAGGTACATCGCAGCACAGCTAACTGGGACATCTAGCAAAGCACACACATATAAAACCCTACAGTTTTGCTTCAACAACATAACAATAATGCAAAATGGCAGTATACACAGTATTACTCTGCGTAACATTTTCCCCCCAAACTTTATCCCTAGCAGACAGAACCTAGAATAATGTCTGGGAACAACAGTCTCCCTTGCTTTAGAGAGAACAGTCCATAATGGGAAAATTGCTAATATTTCACAAGCTATTAATAGTATTTAGCGTTAATGATGAACTATTAAATTTTCTTCTTGATGTTTTCAACAGTCGCGGAACTATGTAAAATATAAGGAAAGTAGTATGTGAATATGCTGTATATAAATAGAATTTACACTCATTGAGAACACTGAAAAGCACTAATACTTTCTTCATGCTGCACACATACTGGAAATACTTTTACAGTAAATATGCAATAGTTTGATGGAAGTAATTTCTCCCCACATATTTATAGTTTGATTCAGGGCACTGAAAACACTTGCACATAAATTGTAAGTTAAATGTACAGTGAAAATTTACTCCTCCCACCATTAAACGTACTAACTTACCTTTAAAAAAATCAATGATAACATAGCAATATGACTTAATACTTTTTCATCATCATGAGAAACTTGTCCCCAAATACATGTTCAAGCATTAAGAATACTTGTAAAGTTACATGATCACCGGAGGGAACTGCAGTACAGACTGGAAACTTCAGGTAAGGGAACTGCTAGGCCTGCCTTTCTGGCAGCTAACTCACCATCTCCTGGGATGGGAGAGAGTGGATTGTCCAGTTTGTGTTCTCATTCCCTCCCCTAAACACCAAAGACAATTGCCCCAGGAATTTGAAAACCAAAAGATGAGTTACATAGGTGTTTACAAAACACAGCTGAACATTTTCCATTATTTTGGGGTAAATCAAAACAAATTTTAAAGTTTCATTTGGAGATTTCAAAGCTGGAAATGCTTTCAGCAAATCCTAATGCCTTAGATCTTAAGAAAGTATATATTGTCCATTGTTGATAAAATCATTTGCCTTTTTGATCTAAAAATTTACTTGAATTTAATAGGTTTTTCTGCTGGAAAAGTTCTTTGGCATTCGAGTAAAATCAGTACTTTGAAAATAGTCACCTGCATCACACTGGAGTGACTGCTTTAATTTCTAAATCATGAATTAGTGTAACCCAGGGATACTGATGGCCTTGATACATAATTTAGTCTTGTCATTACAGTGTGTGGAAATCAGGGCTTTGGGGGACATCATCTGGCCCCATTTCTTCTTACCACAATGGTTCCTGCTACAATGTCATAGGCTGTTCGATTATGCTGGAAAAACAGCAGTGTGATGAAAGCAGGGAAAAAAGAAGCAATAGAAAAATTCTTGATCAAAGCCCGTATAGTGGACCTAAAAAGTCAAAACAAAAATATGACTTAGACATCAAACCACATACAGATTAATGGTATCCCATCAAGTTCAAAATAGATATTTAAAACACAGTTCTACTTCTCTACAAAAGTCCACAGGGAAAAAGACATTCAAAGTATAGTTGAGAGAATTTTTGCCTTTGATACATTTTCAAGTAGCACTGTATCATGATCAAACCACCTGGGCTATTTCTAAAGACTTCAACAACATAAAAGACCTCAGAACGTGAACATAAAAAGCAGTAATAAACATGCCTTGGAATACAGAATAAGGGTTGACAATACTGTCTAGTTTTTGAGATGGAGTTTTGCTTTTGTTACCCAGGCTGGAGTGCAATGGCGCGATCTCGGCTCATCGCAACCTCCGCCTCCCGGGTTCAGGCAATTCTCCTGCCCCAGCCTCCTGAGTAGCTGGGATTACAGGCACGCACCACCATGCCCAGCTAATTTTTTGTAGTTTTAGTAGAGACGGGGTTTCACTATGTTGACCAGGATGGTCTCGATCTCTTGACCTCGTGATCCACCCGCCTCGGCCTCCCAAAGTGCTGGGATTACAGGCGTGAGCCACCGCGCCCGGCCTACTGTCTAGTATTTTCTTAGAAGAAATGAACATAAATTCTGAGTATGCTTACTGTAGTCCCATTTATTTACCTTATATAAAGAACCTGCATTTTAAAATACTGTGTGTTCTTTCATCGGCATTTTCCTTTGTGGTATCCAATGATTAAGGAAAGCTTTTTAAAAGCTTTCAGCAATCACTCAGAATGGAGAATTCTCCTACTTGTTAGATTTCTTCCTTTTTAGTGCACGGAAGGGCTGCAGAAAAGTACAGTGGCTGCGAGTGTGGGTTCTGAATCCAAACTAGTTAAATTAAGATCCATCTTCTACCAATTACTAACTAGCTGTATTTCACATCTGCAAAACGGGAACAATAGTATCTATCTTATAAGGTTATTAGCATTAAATCAGTTAGTACACATGCAGTGTTACAGTGCAGGTATATAAAAAGTACTCAGTATGTAACATTTGCCATTACTGACGCTTACTAAAAGAAGTAGGTAGGTTTACAACTATGGAATTTTAAGAAAAATTTGAAGATGGCAAAGCCAAGGTTTCTAGAGTCACCTGTTCATATTTCTTTTTCCTCTCCCCCCCCAAGATGGAGTTTTGCTCTGTCCCCCAGGCTGGAATGCAGTGGTGAGATCTTGGCTCACTGCAACCTCCACGTGCCAGGTTCAAGCAATTCTCCTGCCTCAGCCTCCCGAGTAGCTGGGACTACAGACATGCACCACTACGTCCAGCTAATATTTACATTTTTAGTAGAGACAGAGTTTCACCATGTTTGCCAGGACGGTCTTGATCACTCAACCTCTTGATCCACCTGCCTTGGCCTCCCAAAGTGCTGGGATTACAGGCATGAGCCACCATGCCTGGCCCATAGTCCTTGATGTAACAATCCAGCTCTGAATCATTCTGGCAAAAATTGCAGCCAATATCTTGTTTGGCTCAACTGACTACCGGCCACTCACCTCCACAACTTCCATTATCACTAGTTGTACCTTCCCCCAGAGCTACATGCCAACAGCTAACCTTGAGTATTGACAGTACTGCAAACTCTCAGCAGCAGAAGGATGCACGAATGTATAGCTGTCAAAACTCTTACTGCCTATTCAAGACGGAATAATGATAGGTACGGCCAAATGGAGACTCAAGACAGATTAGAAACTGACCTAATGTCCACAGATCTAGACAATAATAAAAATGGTCATGGAGCAGTAAGATAGCATCAACACCCAAATCATCCTCTCATATTGTGACTTGTAATTCATAAAATGATCATCTGGAAAATGTACACTGGAAGAGAGGTCTAAATCATATAACACAACTGAAATAAATACTCATAAACTTTGTTTTAAACTTAATATAAGCCTTAAACTTGATAAATATAAGCCTATCTCTATGCCACAAAGAAGAAAACCCCAATATTCTAAAACATTATTTTCTTAAGTATGTAGTAGATTAAGCTAAGAAAAGGACTTACATTGTAATGCTAACATTTGAGGAAGGAATCACTAAAACCCGACTTGGTGCAATAAGCACTGATGTATCGCATGTCACAACTCGAAGCCCCAGCAGGAACTTCCCTGGGGTAGCTCCACCTGCTCCCCAAATGCAAATGATCTAAGGAAAGAAGGATAATTTGAAAATAACTTACTAGCTCATCTATACCAATTTTTAAGCTTTCCTATCATATTATTTCATGTTTTAAAAATTTCAATTTGAAAGAACTGCACAGAAACGTTAACCATTTAACTTAATGCATTTCTGTAGGTCTCTAGCATGTCCAATACTACAAGATGTCTGTCTCCTGTAATATTTCTCTAAGACTAATTTGCAGCAAAAGAAACACACTGCACGTTCCACAACCAATTTACATTTTTGGACCACAACCTAAGTGAAATTTTGACTTTCTAAAACTAAAAAATATTACAAGGAAATTGTAAAATGTCTCTTCTTCCAAAAGTTTTTGCTTAATCATTAATTAAAATTTGGAAAAAAACAGAAAAGTAGACATGTGGAAAAGACATGAATAATTATAAATTTCTCTTACTTTTTTGTCTTGGGCTGATACTGTTGGCCGGGTGCAGTGGCTCACATCTGAAATGCCAGCACTTGGGGAAGCCAAGGTGGGTGGATCACCTGAGGCCAGGAGTTTGAGACCAGCCTGGCCAACATGGCGAAACCCTATCTCTACTAAAAATACAAAATTAGCTGGGTGTGGCTGTATGCACCTGTAGTCCCACCTAGTCGGGAGGCTGAGATAGGAGGATCACTTGAACCCGGGAGGTTAAGGTTGCAGTGAGCCGAGGTCACACCATTGCACTCCAGTCCGGGCAATAAGAGTGAAATTCCATCTCAGAAAAAATAGTAAGATAAAAATAAAATATAAAACCATAAAATTAGATAAATGTTAATACTTGCTGAACTCAATAGCTTACCTCATAGAAACAAACCAATAATCTGTATATAAGAGCCACAACCATCATTTTCTGCAGGTCTTCCATTGATGTGTCTTCATCTATTTCTTCTATTATATAATGCATAGCAAACTTAGAGATATCCCTACACAAAATAATAGTAAAGAATTAGTTACCAGAATAGTTGCACTGATTTTTTTCATTAGTGTAAGTCATACATTTTAATTGAAATTCTAAACTAATCTTTAGATTCCCAACCATCTAGTCTCATAAAGCATTCATTAATTTATTCAACAAATAAGCAGCATTATTGTGGGCAGACACTGTACTCGCCCTGGGGAAATAATGGGTGAATGAATTAACATAGTCTCTGCTTTCATGGAGGGTCTGATCTAGCAAAGCAGAACAATAAGTAAGTAGCAATAATAAAGTGGGATGAGTGCTGTAATGGGGAGCCTAGGACACTATGGAAATACATACCAGGTACACTTAACCTTGTGAAGCTTTCTAGACAGTTAGATGAGAATCTGAAGGATGAAGAAAAGTCAGCCAGACTAAGAAGGAATAATGTTTCAGAAAGGGAACAGCAGGAGAGCAAGTCTTGGAGCAAGAGCGTATGTGACAGAAGCTGTTAGTTGTTTGGTATGGCTCATATACTAAATGTGAGAGGTGTCAGTGATTAAGAAATAAAGGTATCTGTTAAACTACATGAAGAAATTCAGACTTTATCCTGCTGGTAATGAGAAACCACTGAAGGGGCTGAGCATGATGGCTCATGCCTGTAATCCCAACACTTTGGGAGGCTAAGCTGGGAGGATCGCCTGAGCCCAGGATTTTGAGGCCAACCTGGGCAACATAGTGAGACCCCCATCTCTAAAAAAATAAAAATAATAAAAATTTTAAAACGAGAAACCACTGAAGGGTTTTAAGGTAGGAGAGGGGCAGAACCAGGATTTATGATCACTTTGCTTTTGTATCAGAGACTGGACTGAGATAAAACAGGAGACTGAGTTACCACTAGAAGACTTTTGCTAGAATCCAAGCAAGAGATGACAGTAATTGGAGAAGGGAGAAGCAATCATGATTAAAAAAAAAAAAAAAAAATGGGCCAGCTGCAGTGGTTTATGCTTGTAATCTCAGCACTTTAGGAGGCTGAGGCAGGAGAATCATTTGAGCCCAGGAATTTGAGACCACCCTGGGCAACATAGGGAGACCCTGTCACTACAAAAAAAGTTTTTTTAATTAGCTAGCATGGTGGCACATGCCTGTGGTCCCAGCTCCTTGTGAGGCTGAGGTGGGAGTATTACTTGGGCACAGGAGATCATGGCTGCAGTGAGCTGTGATTGTACCACTGCGCCCCAGCCTGGGTGACAGAGAAAAACCCTGTCTCAAAAAAAAAAGAAAAATGGTCTGGCAGTGAGGAGGTCTGGGGCTGAAAGCAATTCAGAAAACTGAACATAAAGCAGTATTTCACCGAATGTACAGTATGGTGAGAGACAGAGGGACAGGGAGTAATCACAGTAACACTCAGGTTCCGGCAAGGACCCTAAATTTGACTGCATAGGTTTGTATCTTGACTCTATCACTTACTACCTTTGTAACATTTTAAGTTCTGGGCTCAACTTTTCATAAACCCAAATTTCAGACTCTATAAAATGGAGGTATTAATCTCAACATCTCATCTTGGTATGAAGATTAAATAAGAATCCATATGAAGCCGGGCGCAGTGGCTCACGCCTGTAATCCCAGCACTTTGGGAGGCCGAGGCGGGTGGATCACGAGGTCAAGAGATCGAGACCATCCTGGTCAACACGGTGAAACCCCGTCTCTACTAAAACTACAAAAAATTAGCTGGGCATGTTGGCACGTGCCTGTAATCCCAGCTGCTCAGGAGGCTGAGGCAGGAGAATTGCCTGAACCCAGGAGGCGGAGGTTGCGGTGAGCCGAGATCGCGCCATTGCACTCCAGCCTGGGTAACAAGAGCGAAACTCCGTCTCAAAAAAAAAAAAGAATCCATATGAAAAAACGAGCAAGCTCAGTACACGGCATATAGAAAATACTCAGGAAGTGATAACTGCCATTAGGATTACTGTTAATCTGGAAGGATCACTCAAATAAATGTCTCACTTTGAAGTTCACTTGGGACTTGCCCCACAGTATAAGCAATCCCATTTGGAAACGCCATCTAGTTGATTATTTATTCACCTACCAAAAGCTCTTTATACCTTGTCTTTAGAGACTCCACAAGATAGCAAGAGGGAACACGACAGGGACAGGTAAATTGGTTCCTGGCCTAAAAGAATTGTTGAGGAGGCCAAGCACGGTGGCTCACACCTGTAATCCCAGCACTTTCAGAGACTGAGGCAGGCAAGATTGCCTCAGCTCAGGAGTTTGTGACAAGCCTGGGCAACACCGTGAAACCCAGTCTCAACTAAAATAAATACAAAAAATTAGCCAGACGTGGCGGCGTGCACCTCAAGTTCCAGCTACTTGGGAGGCTCAGGCAAGAGAATTGCCTAAACCCGGGAGACAGATTTGTTGCAGTGAGCCAAGATCCCGCCACGGCACTCCAGCCTGGGCTACAGAGCAAGACTCCGTCTCAAAAAAAAAAAAAAAAAAAAAAGGAATAGTTGAATAAAATCAAACCAGGTTTGGAGGCTCCTTTTACCTATTTTTGATAGGTGAGATTCCCACACATCTTATAGAATTCAGTAGAAATTTTTAGTTATTTCTTAAAACAACAAGAAAACCATAAATCTGACAAAGCTCTCATAAAGAAATCATGACACTGACAAGCTCATTATCCATATAGTCTCGTGTAGACAAACAGAACGTAACAAAACAATAGTTTTAAACAGTAGAAATAACCTTTCTGCAAATGTCCTCAACTTACTTTATCCCACTGAGGTGCATAATGCTTAAGACAATGGTTGCTTTTATAAAGAAGAGAATAAAGAAATCCACCATCTCTGCCATAAATCTGTGGGCCAAGGATGGAATAACATATTCTCTGCCTGTAAATTAAAAAAAAAAAAAAAAAAAGTTAGGAAAAACCATTTCACATAAGCCTTGGAACACAGGCCATGTAATGAATTGGTAAAGAAAGTCAAGGTACAACTTAATAAAAAAATATAACCTTGCAACAACTATTGATATTCATTCCACCAAGAATCCATGTTATTAAAATAGAGGAACAGTACTCCACTATTTACTGAACTTAAAATTTGTTTTCCTAACTTTAACGTTTAAAAATTGATTTCACATAGCTGGGTGCAGTGACTCACATCTGTAATACCAGTACTTCGGGAGGCCAAGACAGGCAGATTGCTTGAAGCCAGGAGTTCGAGACCGGTCTGGCCTTGGCCAACATAGCGAAACCCGGTCTCAACAAAAAATAAAAAAATTAGCCAGGCATGGTGGCACATGCCTATAGTCCCAGCTACTAGGGAAGCTGAGGTGGCATGATGGCTTGAACCTGGGAGGCAGAGGTTGCAGCGAGCCAGGATTGCGCCACTGCACTATCCAGCCTGGGCGATAGAGCCAAACCTCGTCCTCCACCCCCCCCCCCCCCCCCGCCCCGCCCCACCAAAAGTGATTTCACAGACAAATCTGATTAGAGTACCCAATAAATTTCACTAAGAATTCTGAGAATCCAAGTGATCACAGATCTAAGTGACAGAAAATCGATTTTAGTACAAATCAAGGTTATACATTGGCAATTAGTATAAAGTAAATCCCTGTAACCCCTCCTTTAGTTTGTTTTGCTTTCTCTAAAATAAACCCAATATCAATCTGTCATCCTAAATTCTGCTGGGATCAGAGGCATCAAGTAGTTCTTGTCCCTTCTATCTGTGGCTAAATAAACGAAAAGTCTAATAGCTTAAGTGGTAAACTAATTCAAAATACTCTAGTTCACACACAGAAGCAAAAACAATTACACGATATACAAGATCAATAAGCCAGGGCTTCTCGATCAAATGAAGTGAAGCTTTGACCCAATCAAAAGCTTCCTAACTCCACACGCATCCATGTCAATCTCCTTTTATGTCCGTTCAGTTCCACTGTCCTAAGTAGCCAATATCTGAATAATTTCCAGCATTAACAGTTGAGCCCCTCCAAAAGTGAGTTTGCCATCTGCGAGTGTAGCTTTGGACCTCACTCTGCAGAGCGTGAAAACCAAAGGAAGAGGATGGTTTGAAGAGCAGTTTCTTTTCACGTAGAAACAACGAGTCCCCATGAGGAAGGGAATCAATTCGGAGTGCCAAGTCTAAAGGAAGAAGAAACTGTATTGCCTCCTTGTACATTTTGGGGATTTACGGCCTGGACAAACGACAGCTAGTGCACGGGCAGGATCTCTAATCCGAGTAGCAGCAGCAGTGACAGGTCCAAAAAGCGTGCCAGCTCTACCCACAGGCCCCTGAAGACCCTTCTACTCCGCCCAGCCTCCAGCCCGCGCGTCTCACCTGCCTGCTGCCTGGTCTCGCTCGGGCTTCGCGAAGGGGCTGCGGATCCTACCCTCGTCACTGGAGTGGCCCGGACGGACGACTGCACTTGAGGAGCCCGGGCTCCCAGGTTCGCGACTGGAGCAGGGGTGCTGAGGCCGGCAGCTGTCCTCGGGTCGGGCCCCGCAGCCCCGGGGCTCAGGAAGTAGAAGGGGCTGTAATAGCCCAGCTGCGGGGCCGGCGGCAGCGCCGCGGCCTGGGGGGCTGCAGCGCCGCCCGAGGGGAAGCTCTGCGGGGACGGCTGGGGGCTGCAGTAGGCGGGGAGGGCGGCCAGGCCGCTGTGCCAGGTGAGGTAGCCGCAGTAGGACTGCCACAGCCACTCGTGCACTTGCCGGGAGTACTCACGGGCGCTCAGCCGCGCCGGTCTCTCCCGCGGCGCCGCGGTCTCGGGCGCCTCGCAGCCCGCCTGCTCTGGCGGCCCTGCACCGGAGCCGGAGGCCGCCTCCCCGCACTTCCCAAGCTCGCGCGGCGGTTCCGATTCGTAAGCGGCGGCAGCTGCGAGGCCCGGAGCTGTGGGCCGGCCCGGGGCCTGGGGTTCGGCCTCGGGGTCGTCGCGGGGACATGGGACGGCGGCGGTAGGAGGCCCTCTCAGGGAAGGGACCGGCTCGTGGTCCCCCCCGCCTTCGTCCTGCCCAGGAGCGGGGCCTCGGGCTTCCTCGGGCCCCTCTGCCATCGTCGCCTCAGCAGCACCCTCGGCGGTACCTGTCACTGCTCCGTCTCTCTCCCCCAATTACCCCGCCCCAACAGTTCCGTCGCCACCGCCGCAGCCGCAAGCGTAGGCGTCGGCGTCAACAATCCCCGGCCGGAAGCGGAAGCCCCGCCCCTCAGGAGCGTCGCCCGCCGCAGGGCGGAGCTGGGAAAAGAGGGCGGGGAAGTGCGGCTGCAGTCCCAGGTTCGGTCCCTGGTGGTCGCTGGCTGGTCGGCTGGGACCAGACTGTCGTGACCCCCTGCACCCCTGTTGCGGCTTTAAGTCTGTGGCCCGAGGACTCTCTGTATATTCCCGTGGGGTTGGACCTATGTTGTCCTGGGAGAAACAGCAGATGGATGAGGAGCATTTCCGAGACAGGTCTCAGGCCCAGGGCAGCGTTTTCTGTTGTAGAACTGCGACTGTTGTTTTGGGCTCCAGGCTAGCGGTTGGTTGCTTGTGTTCACTCCGGTTAACCATTAGTACTCGAGAAGGTGGCACAGAACGCATCTATCCCCTTAGAGGATAAGAAATTCTAAACTAAACGCGGACATATATTAATATATATATATTAAATGTATGTATATTTTTTTATATATATATATATATAAAATATTTATTTTTACATTTTTTATTTTTGTTTTTTGAGATGGAGTCTCGCTCTGTCACCCAGGCTAGAGTGCAATTGCTCCATCTCGGCTCACTGCCAACCTCTGCCTCTTGGGTTCAAATTATTCTCCTGTCTGTCTCAGCCTTCCAAGTGGCTAAGATTACAGGTGTGTGCCACCACACCTGGATAATTTTTGTATTTTTAGTAGAGACAGGGTTTCACCATGTTGGTCAGGCTGGTCTCGAACTCCTGACCTCGTGATCCACTCACCTGGGCCTTCGAAAGTGCTGGAATTACAGGCGTGAGCCACTGCATCTGGCCAGGAAAGTATATTGAAATGTAAGTAGTGAGGTGCTATATATAATTCAGAGGAAGGCGCAATTATGCATGGACTAGAGTACTAACAAAAGGCTCCAAAGCCTGGCATATGCTCAGGGCCTTTCCATAACAGAAAATGAAAAGGCACCTAAATATTTGAGGAAAGGCACAGTTCGGCTGGAGTAGAAAGCTTGTGTCTGCCACAGTGGAAAGTAAGTTTTCATAAATGCAGACTAGCTCCAGGGTGAGGACAGAATCCAGCTTTTAAATCAATATAATCTCTCTTCTTTTGCATTTGAAAATCTCTGCAGTCATATGTCTGTATTATCCCCAGCACCATACAAAGGACATAGAAGGGCCAAATACTGTGGGAATGTTTATTGATGATATTAATGATGATGCTTCCTCTTCACCCTCTGTGGGTTCACTGGAAAATCACTGACAGGAGGCAGTTAATAGGAGAAATGGCATAGACATTGATTTGATCATTGTTTTATGTGACACAGGAGCCTTCAGAATGAAGACCCAAAGATAACAAGGGAAAATGTGGATTTTTATGCTTAGATTCAACAAAGCGTGGACAGCCAGATAGAAAAATGATTGGACAGTGCTCGCTTCGGCAGCATATATACTAAAATTGGAACGATACAGAGAAGATTAGCATGGCCCCTGCACAAGGATGATATGCAAATTCGTGAAGCATTCCATATTTAAAAAAAAAAAGAAAAATGATTGGACAAAAAGGGTACACTCTAATGCGAATACGCAGGAAACCCAGCAAGGCACCTGCCTAGATTATTCTGGGGCCTCTGCGCAGCATTCCTTCCTCTGGGTATGAGGACATTTTAATGTTTAAACAAGCATTCCAAGTTGAGGTGAGGGAAGCAAGAGAAACAAGAACAAAGAAATGTGGCTTGGAATTAGTGAAATATGATTATTGGAGACATGGACTTTGTTTTGAATACCACTGTTTATCTAACACCGGGCACAGTATCACCGTAAAGATATAAAATGATATGACACATGAAACAGCAAAGTAAGCCAGAATAAGAAAAACTCAGGAATGAAGTAACAGAATTTGGGAAAGTGTTAGAAATAAAAGAAAAACTTATTTCAGTAAAGTGGACTGAAATACAAGGAATAAAAGAATGAGAAAATAAAATAGTGTCTGAAGAGAACTACAATTTGAAAATAATTTTTTTTATCAAAAAGAAATTTAAACATAGAAATAACTTCAGATAAATGGTAAATATTGAAAATAGGCAAAGAAGATCCAACATATAGGAGTCCTTGATAAAGAAAACTGAAGAAAGGTAACAGAACTAATTATAACACATTATAATTCAAAAAAAATTTTCTGAAATATATGTATCTCCCAACATTACACACACACACAAACACATGCAGAGTCATGAATCACTTAACAACAGGTATGTGTTCTGAGAAATGCATCATTAGGCCACTTTGTCCTTATGGGAACACTTGCGTGTACTTACATACACCTATATGGTACAGCCTACTATACACCTAGGCTATATGGTGTAGCCTATTGCTCCCAGACTACAAACCTGTACAGGATATTAATGTACTGACTACTGCAGACAATTATAACACAATGGTATTTGTACATATAAATATATCGAAACATAGAAAATACAGTATGAAGGATTAAAAATAATACACCTTTCTAGGGCACTTACCATAAATGGAGCTTGCAGGACAGGAAGTTGCTATGGGTGAGTCATTGAGTGGGTGGTGAATGAATGTGAAGGCCTAGGACATCACTGCACACTACTGGAGATTTGATAAAAAACTGTACACTAGCCCGCATAGCCAAGTCAATTCTAAGCAAAAAGAACAAAGCTGGAGGGATCACACTACCTGACTTCAAACTATACTACAAGGCTACAGTAATCAAAACAGCATGGTACTGGTACCAAAACAGAGATATAGACCAATGGAACAGAACAGAGGCCTCAGAGGCAACGCCACACATCTACAACCATCTGATCTTTGACAAACCTGACAAAAACAAGCAATGGGGAAAGGATTCCCTGTTTAATAAATGGTGTTGGGAAAACTGGCTAGCCATGTGCAGAAAGCAGAAACTAGAACCCTTCCTGACATCTTACACTAAAATTAACTCCAGATGGATCAAAGACTTAAACATAAGACCTAACACCATAAAAACCTAGAAGAAAATGTAGGAAAAACCATTCAGGACACAGGCATAGGCAAGGACTTCATGACTAAAACACCAAAAGCATTGGCAACAAAGACAAAATAGACAAATGGGACCTAATCAAACTCCACAGCTTCTGCACAGCAAAAGAAACAGTCGTTAGAGTGAATCGGCAACCAGTAGAATGGGAAAAAAATTTTTGCAATCTACCCATCTGACAAAGGGCTAATATCCAGAATCTGCAAAGAAGTAAAACAGATTTACAAGAAAAAAAGAAGCCCATTCAAAAGTAGTCAAAGGATATGAACAGACACTTTACAAAAGAAGACATATATGAGGCCAACAAACATCTGAAAAAATGCTCATCATCACTGGTCATTAGAGAAATGCAAATCAAAACTACGTTGAGATACCATCTCATACCAGTTAGAATGGCAATCATTAAAAAATCTGGAGACACCAGATGCTGGAGAGGATGTGGAGAAATAGGAACACTCTTACACTGTTGGTGGGAGTGTAAATTAGTTCAATCATTGTGGAAGACAGTGTGGCGATTTCTCAAGGACCTAGAAATAGAAATTCCATTTGACCCAGCAATCCCATTACTGGGTATATATCCAAAGGATTACAAATCATTCTATTATAAGGACACATGCACACGAATGTTCATTGCGACACTGTTTACGATAGCAAAGACTTGGAACCAACCCAAATGCCCATCTATGATAGACTGGACAGGGAAAATGTGGCACATATACACCATGGAATACTATGCAGCCTTAAAAAACGATGAGTTTCTGTCCTTTGTAGGGACATGGATGAACCTGGAAACCATCATTCTCAGCAAACTGACACAAGAACAGAAAATCAAACACAGCATGTTCTCACTCATAGGCGGGTGTTGAACAATGAGAACACATGGACACAGGGAGGGGAGCATTACACACTGGGGTCTGTGGGGGGATATAGGGGAGGGACAGCGGGGAGTGGAGAGTTGGGGAGGGATAACATGGGGAGAAATGCCAGATATAGGTGATGGGGAGGAAGGCAGCAAACCACACTGCCATGTATGTACCTATGCAACAATCTTACATGTTCTTCACATGTACCACAAAACCTAAAATGCAATAAAAATAACAAATAAAACTGTACATTTAGGCTACACTAAATTTATTCTTTTAAATTTTCTTTCAGGCTGGGCTCGATGGCTCATACCTGTAATCCCAGCACTTTGGGAGGCCGAGGTGGGTAGATCACGAGGTCAGGATATTGAGACCATCCTGGCTTACATGGTGAAACCCTGTCTCTACTAAAAATACAAAAAATTAGCCAGGCGTGGTGGCACATGCCTGTAATCCCAGCTACTTGGGAGGCTGAGGCAGGAAGACTGCTTGAACCTGGGATACCCAGGTTGCAGTGAGCCGATATCGTGCCACTGCACTCCAGCCTGGGGGACAGAGCAAGTCTTCATCTCAGGGGAAAAAAATTTTTTTTCTTTCTTCCATAATAAATTACCTTTAGCTTATTGAAACTTTTTTACTTTATAAACTTTATTATTCTTTTAGATGAAGTCTCGGTCTGTCGCCCAGGCTGGAGTACAGTGGCACAATCTCGGCTCACTGCAACCTCCGCCTCCTGGGTTAAAGCTATTCTCCTGCTTCAGCCTCCTGAGTAGCTGGTATTACAGGCGAGTGCCCCCACACTAGGCTAATTTTTGTATTTTTAGTAGAGATGGGGTTTCACCATGTTGGTCAGGCTGGTCTTGTGCGCCTGACTTCGTGATCTGTCTGCCTCAGCTTACCAGAGTTCTGGGATTACAGGGGTGAGCCACCCAGTTTTTGATTTTTTAAAAACTGTTGACTCTTTTGTAATAACACTTGGCTTAAAACACAAACACACTGAACAACTGTACAAAAATATTTTCTTTATATTCTTATTCTATAAGCTTTTTATTTGAAAAACATTTTAAATAAATAT